AAGTGGGTAAGGGTTGCCGTGGTCAAAAGGGTTAAATGCTATTGGTGGGCTAAGTGTGCACCAAAAAGGGCGGGGTTTGCCCGAAAACTTCATGTCTCATAACGTCTTCTACAAGACCTCATAATTCTGCTCCGAGATGACTTAGAGACCTGAAAAAATGTGTATAGAGGTGAGAGGAGGAGTAGAGGTTGAATGTGAACGCTGGGCGTGGCACACCCGAAGTGGGCGGAGTTTGCCACCACTCTCATAACTCGGTTCCTAGAAGTCTAGGCGACCGGGAAAAATGTGGATAAGGGTTAGCGGAGGATATGGGGTCAATCGCTTTTGTCGGGCGGAACGTGCCCGAAAGTAGGCGGAGTTTGCTACGAAATTAATAACTAGGTTCTTAGAAGTCCCGGCGACCGGGAAAGAAGTGGACTGAAGTTAGAGAAGAAGGGAGGGTTGAAAGCTGTCGGGGCAGGGTCACCGGAGTGAGCGGAAGATTCCCACTCGCCGTCATAACTCAACACCCTGACGACCCTTAGTAGAGGAAATCATTGCACAGAAGCTAGCAGTGGAGGGAGGTGAAATGCGATTAGTGCATCGAAGTGGTTAGCGCGAAGATCCGCTATGGCATTATCAAATATTGGTAGTGTATCGGGCCAAGTTTGAGAATTTACGCCGTTCCAATCCACATCGCCGCAGAACTGTGTGATGCACGCGAATGCGTGCGCAGCTAAACTGGTAAGATATAATGTCGGAATTCACTCGATACTTGATATGATATATTGATACTAGCACGTTGACGACCGCCGTTGTGCGCGTACTGCTTCAACATTTTTCGTATTCTCTCATCAATAGGCATTAATCCTTCAGCGTTTTCATCAGTAATGAAAAATTGTTTTTCGGATCCAATAATGTACATGGACCGTTGTGGAACAGAAAAAACGCAAATAAATTAAGGAAAACTAGATTAAGGAAAAACTAAAACTGTGAAAGTATGGTATGACATCATACCACACGGTCGTCAACGTGCTAGATATGAAGTTTGAGAAAAATGATAAAACAAATAAACGATTTTTGTTGAACACAAGATATCATAAGTGGTACAGAAAAAAAAAGAATATAGAATGAATCACTCACCGTACATCTCGTAGTTTGACCTTGTCAATACCCGTCCTGGATTCGTATTAGGATCTATCCGCATATGACACATGACACACCTGCTGTCTTGAGAAGCACTCGCTGTAACAATGCAATTTACAAAACAGAAAAAAAATATAATAACACATGCAGATTCTTTTATCTAATAAACACGTCTGCTGTTATATAACCAAAAGGCTCGGACATCTTTGTATAACCACTAAGCTTGGACACCTTGATACCAATGCCGCTCTCAAGTGTTCCCCGTGATTAGAATACAGTAATACGTAAAAACTTGAAAACCACCATACATTGAGCTTCAGTGAGGGCGTCTTGTGGCACTAGTTGGTACATCGCCAACTCTTCCGCAGATGGCATTGTTGGCGGCTTAAAAAATGTTTCATAATCGAGTTTTGAAAATCCTTCAATGAGGGTTCAGTATTATTATTCCACGTGACTCAATGGAATACATCAAAGTGCAGCAAGGCAATTAGAATGAACAACCTTGTACGTTTTCGCAAGCTTTCTTTTTCGTTTTGGGATGACAGCTTTGAAGTTTTCCCTCTTCTTGCACAAGTAGTAGTACAACACACAATCTTTTACAGTCTGAATGTCAAAGAAAAAGTCAAACACTAGATCACATATCAAGAGAATATAAGAATGAAAAACTTGATATTCAAAATTTTACTTTGTTCTCCAGAAACATGGCGATGTTGGCGTAGTTCTTACCCACAGCAGACAACCTCTCCCGGAACAGTTTCTTCTCATCGTCTGACCACGAAGACAGAAATGTTTCAATCCTGTAACAACAAATCACATGTAAATAGTTCGCATCGAAAAAGCAGTTGATATCCCACA